ATTGGTGCTAGGAAAACTGGATAGTTACGTGCAAAAGAATGGGAGTGGACCACTTACTAACACCATACCCAAAAAGAAACTCAAAATGGATTAAAGACCTAAATGTGAGGGCGCCTGGGTGGCTCAGTCATTAAGCATCTGCCTTCGGCTCAGGTCATGATCCCAGGGTCCTGGGATCGAGTCCCACATCGGGCTCCCTGCTCAGCTGAAGCCTGCTTCTCCCTCTCCCCCTGTTTGTATTCCTGCTGTGGCTATCTCTCTCTCTGTCAAATAAATAAATAAAATCTTTAAAAAAAATTTGAGCAGAAATCAATTACATTGAAAATGAGAAATAGAGAAAGTCCAAGAAACCAAGAGTTGGTTGTTTGAAAAAAAAAAAAATCAGTAAAACTGAGAAGCCTCCAGCCAGGCTAACTAAAGGAAAAAGAGAGAGGACACAAATCACTAATATCATGAAATAAGGGACATCACTCCAGATCCCACAGAAGTTAGAAAGATAACAGAGGAATACAAGGAACAATTCTGTGCCTACAAGTTTGACAACCCACATGAAATGACATTGTGGTATTGGCAAAAGAAAGACAACCAGATCAATAAACAGAATTGAGAGCCCAAAAATAAATCCAAATAGGTATAGTGATCTGATCTTTGACAAAGAAGTAAACACAGTGCAATGAAGAAAAGATAATCTTTTCAACAAATGGTGGTAGAACAATCGGGCATCCACATGCATAAATATATAACCATACAGTATTTATCTTTCTCTGAATGACTTATTTCACTTTGCATAATACTTTCTAGGTCCATCCATGTTGTTACAAATGGCAAGATCTCATTCTTTCTTATGGCTGAATAATATCCCTTTGAGTATATATTCCACACCTTCTTTATCCATTCAGCCATCAGTGGACTTTTAGGTTGCTTTCATAGCTTGGGGATTGTAAATAATGCTGCAAAAACATAGGGGTGTATGTATCTTTTCAAGTAAGTGTTTTTGTTTTTTTGGGATAAATACCCAGTAGTGGAACAGTTGGATTGTATGGTATTTCTATTTTTCATTTTTTGAGGAAACTCCACACTGTTTCCCACAGTGGCTGCACCAATTTACACTCCCACCAACAGTGTACAAGGGTTCCCACCTCTCTACATCTTTACCAGCACTTATTTCTTGTGTTTTTGATTTTAGCCATTCTGACGGGTGTGAGGTGGTATTTCACTGTGGGTTTGATTTGCGTTTCCCTGATGATGAGTGATGTGGAGCATCTCTGCATGTGTCTGTTGGCCATCTGGATGTCTTCCTTGGAAAAGTGTCTATCCGGGTCCTCTGCCCTTCTGTAAATGAGGCTATTTAAGCTCAAAACAATGAAATTACTTAGTCCAAGATCACATAACTATTAGCAGTGGTATCAGATTTTGAATCCAGATTTTTCTGGAGAGGAGACCTGTAAGGACCTAACACCCGCAAGTACAGGTTTTCTGGGCAATTACGGTGTGTCTTCTATGTGCAAAGCACACTGGTAGATATTAGGACAAATGAGAAGGAGATTGTGTCCTTAGATTAAACTCTGCAAAAGAAACAAACAGAAAGAAAGAAGCATGCTAAAGAGAGCTAGAGTGGAATGTAAAATTAACAGGTAGTTTCACGTGCCGAGTGGGACAAGTGTTGACAAAGTGGGTCCTGCCCAGACCGGCTGCCACACCACTGTTGGCTCTGACCTCAAAGAGAGAGAGCCGAGGAATCCATCCCGGGCCACGGGGGTCAGGAGGCAGCCCTGAGTAGGTTGTGTGGGAATGTGCAGAGATAGAGGACCTCACATTGGCCAACTGGGTGTGCGAGGGTCTGTATTTAAAACATTGTAATTCACCAAAGCTGATGGAGGAGAGGGTCTTGACCACACCTGGTAAGTCTGAAGTGTCAGCAGGCTGGAAACACGGAACCAACGCTCAAGAGAGAGGGGATTGGAGCTGCAATTTGGATTCATCCCCACATGGATGATTGTGAATGCTTCAAGGTCTCCAACAGAGAAAAAAGTGAAGGGATGAATCCTAGGGCTGTGTCTGAGTAGGAAGGGCTGGGGGTAAGAAGAAAGCAGAGCCCCTGCAGGGAGAAGGGGCTGTGTATACTGGGGCACGGGGTCCAGAGGATGACATTGACCACTTGGCTAATGTGAAAACCAGTAGCCACGAAACCATGAGTTTTTCTGCTTAGAATTATAAGAGCCAGTTTTTATCCTGGAGCTTGTTTGGATTAGTTTATTTTTAAAAAATTTGTAGGCGAATGTTTTTTTTTTTTTTTATCGCTTTTATGGCTGCATACATCACAATTAAGCATATTTTGGTTGTGAGCACATTAGCAAAGATTATAGAGGCAAAGAAGGGAGAATGAGAATCTGACTCAGTGCTCAAGTTCAAAGCTGGGGGCCCTTATTTAGGCCCCAGTAAGTGCTCACGTTTCCATTTTAGAGGGAGGTCTGGAGGTAGAGCAGATCTTGGGCTGGCGTGGAAGCCTGTGGAAGATACAGCCCTGGTTAACGCTAAGATGGTGCTTTTCAAAAGGGGTCCCGGTCTGGGGGACGGGCGGCAGTGCATAGTGCGTGGGAACATGTTATCACACAGCACATTCTCGATTCCATCCCACACTGAGTGAGTCAGAGGCCCTGGGGGTGGGACCAACAGAAGCCCCTCGGGCACTGATGTCCGATATCCAAAAACCCGCTCCGAGAGGTGCGGAAGTTACACGGGACTTATTGTTACTCCAAGCAGTTTGCTTATTTAAACTCCCTCTCGTAAAGGTGCCATGAAGAATGAGACCGGTTCTTTGAAAGTCACAGTTAATTAACTTTTTTCTGTGGTCACTTAGAATTACTTAAATCAAGTGATTGCAGATTGGACTTCTGTGGAAGGCCCCCTGGATGGAACAGTTAGTGAAGATCACAGTATTGCCAATCATAAAAGATTTAAGTAGGGCCAGTTTCATTTCAGGACAAAAGTAGGAGTGCTTCATATTGTTTAAATGGTCACTTTCCCACTGTCATTCACAGGAGAGGGAATAAAACATACACCGTGAAGCTGGCTACCTAATTAAATGCATTATATATTTATGCACACTGCTAATGTAAAACGTTTTTCTGCGTTGCAGGCCCAAACTGTTTTGCGGAAACAACTGTCATCCCCGCTGGAAGAGAAGTCAAGACTGACGAATGCACCATATGTCACTGTACTTACGAGGAAGGCACGTGGAGGATCGAGAGACAGGCCATGTGCACGAGGCATGAGTGCCGGCAAATGTAGGAACGGGACCACACACACACACAAGAACAAAAAAACAGACGTTTTTCTAGAACCTTTTACTGACGGGAACATTCTAGATGACTCTGGGGAATAGCATTCAACAGGAGAAGACTTTTGAGGAGGAATATGGAACATGGTTGGTACTTTTGCGTTTCTTGCTAACAGTTACTGCAAAAGAAGGAAATGGGTATATTTCAAAACATCCACAAGAACTTTGGGCATAAACCCCCCTCTCTAAATAAATGTGCTATTTTCACAGTAAGTACACCGAAGGACACTATTCTATATTAAATGTATTTCTATAATCCCTCTATTAGCTTATATAAATGTTTTCTATAGATACAGATTAAAAATGCTGTGTTGTCAACCATGCTCACTGTGTACCTGCATATCGTCTTCGGTCCCCGATCCCCTCACGTGAGCCTGGTGGTGGCTACTTGATTCTGCTTCATAGCTCGGAACAGTGCGCCCATCAATGGACCATAAGACGACGAAATACCGAAATCCTGCCCCCATGGTGTCTCATTCCAGACACAGATCTCATGTGTGTCCTTACGAGATTCGGTCTCCTTCACACAAATACGTTTCCTTCTCATAATGACTCCCTGCTTTGATTGTCTCCGTTCTCGGTCATGTGGGAGATGCAGGTACAAAGTTAGGCAGCACGTGCTTTTTCTGTGTATTCGAGGCTCCCGTGTTGGGGGCCATAGATGGACACATCCATAGAGATCATTCTCACGCACATTACTTTCTCTTCTGAGCATGCCTTTAAATCATCTTGTAAGCCAAGCAACAGGGTAGGTTGGAATGTTTGCACTGTTGTTCCATCAAGCTGAAGCGTGCAGTGAAATAGGGGGATTTCTTGACTCTCTGGAGCAGAGTGGAGGAAAGCCCAAGCCCCAAACAAGTCTCTACCTGGAATCTAGATGCAGTGCAGGGAACCACCCCCCCTCCCCCACCGTCCACTCAGTGGATGTGTGTTTCTTACCGGAACAATCAACTACCCTCCGTAAGAGAGTAGAATCTGAAAGATTGCCCTGTATTAGCCATCCTTCTGGAACAGAGTGAGGAGCATCCCAGCCAGTATGTGAGCATGGACAGTGCCAAAGCCCACGTGCGCTCGGCTACTTTGTGTAGTTACCTGTAATCCCAAACGGATTTTATGTCCCCTCATTTGGACAGGGAATAAAAGAAGCCACTGCAAATCCTAATCCTTGAGCAATACATATTAGAGAATATTCCTGCCTTTAGCAATCACATTGACCCCTTGCACACTGCTGAGAAAGGTGGTCAGTCTTAAGAGGCGTACAGTGAAAAAATAATGATAGTCATTATCTGAATCTTTAAAGTTTTTTTCCCTATATTTTTATTTACTCCAAAATTTTGAATTAAGCTCCTATTAGTTACAAATCATTTGATGACAAAAAGGGGAATAAAGCATGGTTTCTTGCCTTCATGGGCTTTTGGCCCTACACCTAACACGAGTAAGAAGTTATAGTGCATTGTGGCAGGAGGTCAATTCAAGGTCGGCAAAGGGAAGTTCTTTCCTGATAAGAGCAGAGAATACCAAAATATCATCCAGTATCTAAGAAATCCTTCAGGCATTAAAGGTTGACTAATCAAGAAAAATTGATATATTTGTCATTATTGAAAACGTGAACCACTGTGTACCTTAATAAATGTACAGCCAGCCCTAACTGAAGCCTCCAGAACTTTACATACGCTTACATTTACTTTGAATCTTGTTTATCAAGAACCACCTTGGGCCAAATGGGCTCCACGCACATAGATTTTCAAGAAAATGCTCAGGGCAAGTATTAGCTAGTTGCTTTCCCAAACTTAACCTTTGGTACTAAAGGCTACTAGACATTGGCCATCATCACTCTATTATCCAAAGGTAGATTTTTTTTTTTTTTGAGACAAGGTTATATAAGTTATGGTTTTGCCAACAGTGGGCTCGAATCCCTGTGGGGAGGTGGGTCATTAGCTATCGCTAACAGTCCACAAAGCCACCTCTTCTCTCCCCAGCAAACACGCTGCAGTGAGAGACTCAGTCAGAGGCCCAGAGTCTCCCTGCCTCCCTTGGTGATGTAAGTCCCTCCCCGCATGGGCGGTGAGCTCTGAAGTAATTGCAGTGGGACCTATGAGAATTTCAGGAAACCCGGGACTTCGGTCGTATACAGAGAGAGTGAATAGGAGAGCATCTGGGAAACAGACTTCTACTTGCTCTAAACGAGTGTGACCCATACATACCACGGGCGCAGTCCGGAGCGGGAACACAGGGGCTGTTCTTACACTAAAGTAACCTCCTGTCCCTCTCTGGTTCCAACCCCTCATTCCTCTTTCCACGTAAGAACACTACGTAAACCACACATATGGCTGAACTTGGGTTAATGACACTGCATATCCATAATGTAGAATGATGTTATTTGCATTTTTGTCTAAGAGAGACTTGTTCTTCTTCGGTTATTTCTTGCCATGAGTGTAGAGTTTCACATCTATAAGGTTGTGGCATGTTGAAATTTTCTTTTCCTCTTCTTTTTTTCCCTATAGAATATTTTGCAGAGATTTTTAACAATGAAACTGTTCTATTCATTCACCCTTAACAACTGCATTATAAAAAGAGGAAAATACATGTCCAAGTCATTCGATTGCAAAATATTCTGTTTTGGACACAGTCCTGAAAAAGGAGCCTCAAAGTTCACGTACAGACGTGTTTGGAGAGCCATAATTCTTAATCTTCCAATCGGTCTGCTCCATGAGTCCCTGTGATTGTTGTTAAGTGACTTCTTCAGGTTGAAAAAGGAAATCGTGGGTGCCTGGGTGGCTCAGTTGGTTAAGCGACTGCCTTCGGCTCAGGTCGTGATCCTGGAGTCCCGGGATCGAGTCCCGCATCGGGCTCCCTGCTC